CCCCCGTGTCCTCCAGGCTGCAGTGTTCCCCTGGTCACCCTGGCGCCGCGCCTGGCTCACAGTGGGTGCTGTGTACACGTGTGTTGACCTAGTGCATGTGACGCTGGCACCCAAAGCCAGCTGCCCAGGCATCCCGGGCTCCTGCAGCTTCGGCCTCGCGCTACTTACTGTTTGGTGTTGTGGTTGACGCCAAACGGAGCTCCTTGGTAAGCCCATTCATTTATGCATTCTTTCAGACTGTAGGTGCTACAACGAGTATATACCTGAATTAGTCCCTCCATCCTGTGGGCACCCTGAATCGATTTGTTCAAGCCACTCTGGCTGACACTGATGACAGAATTTTGTCCTTTGTTTATATGTTTGTTTTCTTCCCCTCCGCCCTGTCCTATATAACTTTGTAACTTTGAACAGTGACTGCCACTGGTAGTTTGGTAAATGTTGAATGAATGAGTAGGTCTGTTATTGCGAATCTAAACAGGCTAGTGCTCTGCAGGTTATTTCGATTCTAGAAGGGAAGCTAGCAAATAAGAATTTCCCAATTCCCAGGGTACTTCTTACAAACCCTTTTTGTGGCACCTAAGAGTCCTAGTGTGGCGCTGTGGGTTAATGCGCCAGATTGCAAAGTTGTTTGAACTGCAAGGTTGGCGGTTCAAGCTCACCAGCTGCTCCTTGGAAACCCTATACAGGGTCGCTATGGGTCGGAACCGACTCAAAGGCACTTCACAACAACAACAACCTTTTCTATTTTATAGGCTTGAGTTTGAGGTTGTCTCAAGGCAAATTTTCTTACATTCCCCACAGTGAGTGGCAATTTCTATACCCTCACTAGACAGGCCAATGCACTCAGCTAAACAAGAGAAACTGAAGAGGATGCCGTAAGAAAAAGTGGTGGCCGTGTGCCGAGGAGTCTGTTCCGACTCACAGCGACCCTGCATAGGGTTTATGAGGCTCTGTACGTCTTCATGGCAGCAGAAAGCCTCATCTTTGTCCTGTGGAATCTATGAGAGTGTATAACTGCAGACCTTGACTTTAAGGTTAGCAGGCCGACTCGTAACTATTACTACCAGAGCTCCTTATGAAAAAGTAGTCAGAAATAGATACGGAAGTGCAATGTGAAGCTAGAGGAGCAACTCTTCCCATGGGCGAGAGGATTGCGGGTGGCCTTTTCATCAGAGGAGAAGTGGGATTATTTGGGATTATTGATCATTTCATCTTTTCTCAGATATGCTGAGATTCTTTTTGTTCCCATAATCTCTTCTTTAGCTAGGAGACCACCAATAATAATGTATTAATAATAACAAAATTGAAAGTTGAATGTATTGATTTGTAAATAGTGTTACCTTGTTGATGTTAAATGCCCTCGAGTCGGTTTCGACTCATAGTGACCCTGTATAGGGTTTCCTAGGAGTGGCTGATGAGCTTCAAGCACCGACCTTGTGGTTCAGGCCGACCCTTCAGTTCAGCGCATTAACCCCCAGTGCCGTACCAGGACTCCCAGTGTTATCTTGGGAGTCCTCATACCCAGTCTTTGAGGTGATGGTGATTGTTAAATGCTGTCAAGTTGATTCCGACTCATAACCACCCTATGTAGGGATTCTGAGACGCGGCTGTGGGTTTGAACTGCCAACTTTGTAGTTAGCAATCCTGGGCTCTTATAGAGGAGAAATCAACCCAAATATCATTTTTTGTCTTACATTTATCGATAAGTACAAGAAGAATTAGAGAATACTATAAGAATTCAGAGACAGGATAGATGATTTCTGCTTGGGGGATTCTGAGTGTCTTCCAAGCTCAGCCTGAGCTTATTTATCTCTTTTAAGGCAATAGAATTTAAATGGGCTAGTATTTGTCATGGTCTCTGAATGGGTAGACTTCATGTCTACTTTTAGTAGTGAAGACAATCTTAGTGGTATGTGATAGTGTGTGTGTGTGTGTGTGTGTTTTCTCACCATAGTGTATTTGTATGTATCGCACATTTCATCTGTTTTACAGGCAGGATCCTTTCCATAGTTAGATCTTCATTTTATGCTGGATATGTAAGAAGACTCCTGTAATTACTGGGTGGAGACAAGGATTTAGATTCCGCAAAATATTTTGCCTCTCAGTGAAGGAGGGCACCTGTCTTTTATCCCTTTACCCTTGGCATAAGAATAGAAAGGAGTAGGGCTGATCTGGACTCCTGGTGCGGTGCTGTAGAATCGGCACTGAACTGCAAGCCATAGGTCGGAAGTTCAAACCTACCAGCTGCTGTTTGGAAACCCTATACTGGGTTGCTGTGAGTTGGAACTGACTTAATGGCAGTTAACAGCAACAGGGCTAATCTTAGAAGCAGAGGTTGGAAAGGTTTAGGTTGATGTGAGGAGTTTGAGTTAATGTGAGGTGACATGGGGAGAGTATTCTGGGTGGGTGCAGACACCAGAGAGGAAGAAGGGATGAGAAAGTGAAATACAAACTCAGTTAAAGCTTAAACAAGAAATCTTTGAAAAAAATGCTACCTATGAGGATTTTCCGCATTGAAATCCGTGTTTGTGTTAATCTGTAGTATCATATTTTATGTATTCTAAAGTACATATTTTGTTTTCATATTTTTAAGTCTTAAAATTAATGGCACATCTTAGTTGACTCGGCAAACTACCAGTTTACCAAACTACCAGTGGCAGTCACTGTTCACAGTTACAAAGTTATATAGGACAGGGTGGAGGGGAAGAAAACAAACATATAAACAAAGGACAAAACAGAACTGTGTCCTGCAATAAAAGGCACCTCTGATGAAGTGGAATATTTTTTACTATAGAGCTATCGTCTTGCAGAAAACGTGATTATAGTTCTCAGTGGCAGAGTTCTTTCTGGTGAAATACATTTAGATTTCTGGTTCTGTGCCTCTTATTTTATTTCCCATTTAACGACACTTCCACTTTATTTCCTGAAAGGTAGAGTGAGAGAGTTGTGGTTGTGCCTGACGTCAAAGTGCCTTTCATTGGGCTGCACAATGTAGACTGGATGGAGGGTAGAATTAAGCCAAGTCATTGGTGATGCCTGCCTACATTTTGACAGGATTGTTCAGGGCATTGAAATTCTGGGGAGTTTATTAATTGTGACAATGTGTGTAGTTTAGATCATTGGCAACCTTTTAACCAGAAGTAGTTGAAAACCCATCTCCTGTTGCTGTCTCTGCCATAGCAGCTTCTGTTCCCCAGGGAACTCATGGTGTCGCACTTGGACTTGGACTTGGACCTGCACAATGGTGCAGCTTCACAGCTTTCAGTTGGTTTGTTTTTTCCCTTGAGTATTTTTCTAACACCTGATTTTATCAAGCTTAAGCTTAACAGCCAAGCCAATAGCACATATTTTTATTGTGTACTGTATACCAGATTGTAATTGGCTTCGAGGTAGCAGTAATTAATCCCATTCTTCTATAAGCGCATCCAGTTTGAGTTTGTGATAGCTAAAGGCTGAAGGGAAATATGAATGTGCAATATTTAATACATCCAATCTAAACTTTTGTTTGTGTTTTTCTTAAACTGTTTATTTTGGCGTACTTTTAGTTTATTACTATTGTTCTCTCTTCTGTTAAGTTATATTTTCCAGGCAGCCAAATAGGGCTTTTTATAGGTATATTAGCTATTTGTGTGTTTTTTTTTTAGCCTTGAATTGCTGCCATTCAGTTGTTTTGTTTTCTGTGGATCACAATTAATTTTGTAAGAATGCTTTTTATGCAGTATTTAAGATACTAATCATTTGTCATCTGTGACGGAAGCATATTTTCTTCCAGCCTGATGCTGTGTTTTGGGTTTGTACATGGCATTTCTGTGTAGATTGGGATATTTAGAAAACAAACATCTTCCCCTTGCCACAGGAGGACCATGTCATTAGACTTTGGCAGTGTGGCTCTGCAGACTCAGAATGAAGATGAAGAATATGATAAAGAAGACTATGAAAGAGAGAAAGAGGTAAGTTGTCCAGAAAAAAAAAAAAGACTTGAAACCCAATCTTTAACTAATTTCCTGATTAAAATTATATCATATTTTTATAAATGGATAAAATTTGATAAAATTTCATTTAAAAAAACAAAAAACAAAACTAGCCACAGGACAAAGATGAAGCTGTCTGCTCTCGTAAAGATTTACAATCTTGGGAACCCTATGAAACAGTCTATTCTGCCCTATAGGGTCACTGTGAGGCAGAGTTGACTCAAAGGCAGTTTGGATTGGAATTGTGTGTCATTTATTGCTGCTGTTAGGTGTCATTGATTCGGTGCTGACTCATAGTGACCCTATGCACAACAGAACGAAACACTACCCAGTCCTGTACCACCTTCACAATTGCTGCTATGTTTGAGCCCATTGCTGCGGTCACTGTGGTAGTCCACCTAGTTGGGAGTCTTCCTCATTTTCTTTGACCCTTTACCAAGCATAGTATCCTTCACCAAGGACTGGTCTGGCGTATGAGAGACAAAGTCTGGCCATCCTGGCTTCCAAGGAACATTCTGGCTGCAAATCTTCCATCACAGATCTGTTGGTTCTTTTGGCAGCCCATGGCTCTTTCAGTGTTCTCCTCCAACACCGTAACTCAAAAATGTCAGTTCTTCTACGGTCTTCCTTATTCATTGCCCCACTTTCAGAAGCATATAAGGTGATTGAAAATACCATGGCTTGGGTCAGGCACATTTAGGGGATAGGTAATGGTTGGGTACATCCCTGGGTGATGCAAATGGTTTGCACTTGCCTACTTATTTAAAAGTTTTTAAAATTCAAGCCCATTTCAGTACTGAAATGCATGTGTAGTGCCATATTTCATCTAAAGGGTATATTTTACTTTCATATTTTAACATTTGCAAAATCAAGCTATGTTTTAAAATTAATGGCACAGCATAGTTGACTTGACAGCATGTTTTCCCCCTCAGTGGAAAGAAACAGAATTGTGTCCTACAGTAAAGGGAAGATAGGCCTGGTAAGATTAGAGCCAATAAAACCCTATGGAGCAGTTGTTGTTGTTGTTAAATGCTGTGAGTCAATCCCGACCCATAGCGACCTTGTGTAGGGTTTCTGAGGAGCAGTTGGTGAGCTTGAACCACCAACCTTGCAGTTCAAACGGCTTTGCAGTCGGGCGCATTAACCCACAGTGCCTCACTAGGACTCCAGTACTAGTCTGTAAATATGGAGTTGCCATGAGTCAAAACTGGAGTTCATGGTAACAGATTAATAGTTGGCTTTGATGGCATTGGAGACATATTTACAGGACTTAGAAGATTACTGTGAACAAGTTGCGGGAGGCACTTTGCTTTGGGGAGCTTTAGTCCTAGTGTAGGCAAACAGTAAACAAATGGATAAAATAATCTGAGTGAGTGAAAATGTCTTACCGAAAAACAAGGGGGCGCAAAACAGGGACAGTAGAAAAGGATGGCCGCTGGGAGGCAATGCTCGTGTTGAGACTTGACCAGTTAGAAGTGCAGACTGAGGAAGAACATTCTAGGCCCCACCAGCCCAGAGACCTGATGGTGAAAGAGACCCCTTTAGTCTGTGGAACAGCCAGAGGCATCGTGTTGGCATGCATGAGTGAAGGGGGAATGTGGAGGTGGCATGGAGATCATGGTAAACCTTGGTTAGATATTTGTTATTTTCTTCTCAGAGCAGTAGGAAATCAGTGGAGGATTTTAAGCAGGGAAGGGATATGATCTAATTATAGTTTTAAAATTTCTTTTTGGATAAGTGTTGTGAGTAGATTGTAGGAAGAAAGGAGGACAAGGCAGAGATCAGATCATTTATACATAAAGAGTTCAGCACAGTGTTTGGCACATAGCAACTGTTCAGAAAGGTGACATTAGTAGTAATAGCAGTGATAGTTACTGTTGATGACAATTTACTTGTTATAATTTCGTTTTCATTTGAGTCAAATTTCTTGACTGTCATAAAAGGCTTCTTTTGTATCGAACAATGATTGAATGCACCCGATTTCTAATCTGTAAAGTAATCCTTTCTACACTCACTGTGAAACTTCGGTCCGTTAGAGTCAATTGATTACTGCCCACATGCCTGGCAGTAGGGCGAGGGTAGAGGTAGAAAGCTGGCAACTCAGCTGGATTCTTGATGGACATGTTTTGTTTGGCTGCATAGTTCCAAACTTGAATCTCCATTATAAACGTGGAAACTTTTATGTAACAGTTCCGAGTTGCTGGCTTGCTTTGTGACATCCTAAGCCCTGGCTATGCTGGACCTCTATGTACTTACACATGGCTGCAGGCAGGCTGGACCTGAGCAGTGCTCTCCCTTCCCAGCTGTCCACACCTCACTTCTCATGTGGACAACTACACTAAGACCCCACCTGCCCTCATAGAAGATCTGTGTGATTAGGAGCAAGGGTTTTCAGATTTTGCAGGGTCCTTCACACCTTTATAAATCTATAAAGATTTCTGGTTATTTTGTGGTTTAACCTGTTAGCTAGAATGTCAACAGCTCAAACCAAGCAGTAGCTCCTTGGGAGGAAGACGTAGCAGTCTGCTTCTGTACAGATTGTTGTTGTTATGTTGTTAAGTGCCGTTGAGTTGGTTCCGACCCATGGTGACCCTGTGTAGGGTTTCCAAGGCTGTAAATCTTTATGGGAACTGAAAGCCTCATCTTTCTCCTGCAGAGCAGCTGGTCGTTTCAAACTGCTGACCTTAAGGTTTGCAGCCTGATTCGTAACCACTACGCTAAAGATTGCCACCTTGGAAACCCTATGAGGCAGTACTACTCTGTGAGAGTAGTGCCGTGGAGTCGGTTCTGACTCAGAGCGACCCTGTATAGGAGGGTTTCTTAGGCTGTAAATCTTTACGGGAGCAGAAAGTCTCATTTTCCTCCCGTGGAATGGCTGGTAGTTTTGAACTGCTGACCTTGAGGTTGGCAGCCTGACTTGTGACCACTATGCTACCAGAGCTCCTTCAATTTATGTGATTAGTATGTTATTGTTAGGTGCTGCTGAGTTGCTTCTGACTCATAGTGACTCAGGTACAGTGGGACAGAACACTGCCCTGTCCTGCGCCATTCTTACCATTGTTCTGTTTTAGCCCATTCCTTCAGCCATTGTGCTGTTCCATCCTGCTGAAGGTCTTCCTCTTTTTCCCTGACCCTCTGCTTTACCAAGCATCCATGTGCTTCTCCAGGGACTGATCCTTCCTAATAACATGTCCAGAGTATATGAGACAAAGTCTCGTCATCCTCGCCTCTGAGAAGCATTTCAGTTGTGCTTCTTCCAAAACAGATTGATTGGTTCTTCTGACAGTCCATTGTGTATTCAGTAAGTGGTTAGTAGAGTAGACCTGTAAGGAAGAGAATTATGACAGGTGATTTCTGTTAGGAAAGACATTAGAGACGAATAAGGTATTAAGGAGCATTTACTGCCAGGTTCTTGATCATATGCTGCTTCTTGGAATGATTGAATAGTGAGCAGTTATTTATTTGGTACAGTAACTGTATTCCTTCCATCTTTTTGATACTTCCTGCATCATTTAATTTGTTTGCTTATAGAATCTCTCAATATTGTAATTCCAGGCTTATTTTTTTTTCTTCATTTCTTTTCAGCTTGAGAAATGCCAAGCAGGCTCTTTTGGTCTTCTAACTCCAAGTCTTTCACATTTATTATAATACTTTTTCGTTTTAAGCCGCCTTTGAAATTTTTTGTTTAGCTCTTTTACTTCATCATGTCTTCCTTTCACTTTACTATATATTCTACGAACAAGTATCAGAGTCTCTTTGACTTCCATTTTGGCCTCTTTTTTTCTTTTCTGTCTTTTTAATGACCTTTTGTATTTTTCGTGAATGATATCCTTGATGTCATCCCACAACTCATCTGATCTTCTGTCATTAATGTTCAGTGCTTCAAATTTGTCCTTGAGATGGTATCTAAATTCAGGTGAGATATACTCAAGTTCATACTTGGGGCTCTCATGAGCTTGTTTTAATTTCTTTCAGCTTCAATTTGAACTTGCACATGAGCAGTTGATCGTTTGTTCTGCAATTAGCCCATGACTTTCTTCTGACTGATAATATTGAGCTTTTGCATCTTCTCTTTCCTGTTGTTGTTGTTAGTATGTGCCGTGGAGTCGGTTCCGACTCACAGTGACCCTGTACAGGGTTTCTGAGGCTGTAAATCTTTACGGGAGCAGAAAGCCTCATCTTTCTCCCGCGAAACAGCTGGTAGTTTCGAACTGCCGACCTTGAGGTTAGCAGCCCAATTCGTAACCACTGCGCTACCAGAGCTCCATCCATAGAAGTAGTTGATTTGATTTCTGATATTCTATCTAGTGAGGTGCATTGTCCATAGTTGCAGTCTATGTTATTGAAGAAAAGATATTTCCCGTGACTAAGTTGTTGGTCTTGCATAATTCTTTCATGCCCTTTCCCATGTCGTTAGTCACCAAGGCCATGTTGTCCAACTACTGAGCCTTCTTTTTGGTTTCCAACTTTTGCATTATAATCATCAGTAATTATCAATGCATCTTGATTGCATGTTTGATCAGTGCCAGACTACGGTAGGGAATTTCCAGAGGAAAAGGAACTCTCTAACTGTGAGGAGGAAATTGGGTGGATGTAAGAATGAGTGTTTCTAGTAGAGTAGTAGAAGACAAGAATACAAAGGGGCTTCAAAAAGTTTGTGGAAAAAAGTAATTATCTTTTAGTTTTGTTTCCCAACTTTTTGAAGCTCCCTCATATGTAGCTAATTTGATGAATTTGATGATTATTTCTAGATTTCTAAGAATGCTCATATTAATAAAGCATGCTTTTGCTCTTTTAAAAATAGCTGCCACAGGAAAAGATGTGAGATTAGAAGCTAGAGTGCTTCAGATCGTCAGTAACAAAATTTTAAGAATTATTGATTAAAAAATTCAGCTATGTGTGTACACTTTGCCACTGCAAGTTAAAATAATGAATTGGCTGATCAAACCTAAGTTTGCTTGCATATCCAGAAATCTTTT